CTGAAACATCGCTTGTCGCCAGAGTTTGTCATGACTTACTCAGTATTGCTAAAAATTTATCAATTATCCAGAATTGCTCTTATCAAATGTTTGATATTTGTTTAAAAATTTTTCTAACTTTTATTAGAATTATTAAATCCAGTGGGCCAACTCATTAAACTATTATCTAATTTGGATTGGAATCCAAATTAAACTATATAAAAATTAATCTCATTAAACACACGGTATTGATACAGTTAGAACTTAGTTAATTTTTTTTTAAATAATAGCGTTTTATTTTTTGTTTAGAAATCTTAAAATATGGTTGCTTTGAAATGACTCAGGCAACCGAGCTTTAAGCCGGACCGAGATTGCTACCTTTAACTTCGACTTTCTGACAAAGCATATTTTTCAACTAGTTTGAGTTTCAATTGAGACTCGGTAAGTCTCCTCTCCCAAGAATCTTAAAGCGTTCCACTGTGTTGGCTCACTTCACTTTGTACCTAAAATTCAAACTCAGAATTTCAAAAAGAAAATTACCCTTTTTTAAAAATAAAATTTCGTATGTTATAAACTCTAATAGTTTTTTTTTTTTTGCCCCCCGAATGACTATAATATTAACTTGTAAAGCAAAAGGAAATGAGAATAAAACATGCTCATTGCTGAAATTCTCTACTTTCCATTGCCGACTTTCAAAAGGATTTCATAAGCGTTACTGCCATCTTTATGGAAAGGAACTAGTTAATTATCAGGAAGCAATTCTAAATTTGTGGATGGAAAGAATAACTAGTGGACTGGCAAAAGCTTTGCAAGATAGAAGCAATAACAATAGACTCGTCATCTTGTGTGGTACCTATGTCCTCCATACCAAGTTGATCACCCTTCTCCATCTCAGGCGGTGGTAGTGGGGGTGGAGGCGCCTCTTGTGAAGGAGAGGGATGCGCGAAGAAAGGGTAGTAGAAGTTGGTACGAGCTCTTTCAATGCCACTAAAAGAGATGGAGGATAGATCATATGCTATCGCAGCTTCCTCAGCAGTGTCAAACGTGCCTAGCCAGCGCCTCTCTTTAGTATATGGATTGCGAATCTCGGCAGCATATCTCCCCCATGGTCTTCTCCTCACTCCAAGGTATCTGCTTGATTGCCTAGAGCTTCTTTTGGGGTTTCTGTAAAGCAATGGAGGGAAGTTTTCCATTCTTTTCGATGTTATTACAGATTGAGCTGGCTATGGGAGGAGGGAAAAGAGGGGAGTGGATTTATATGCAAATTAAGTTCCATAATCAAGGTGGCCTTTGCTGGTTAAATTATCCACTCTTGATCCCTCACTAGATTGGTAGAGCCATAATAAATTAGAAGTCATTTTCATGTTAATTTTTCAATATTTTCATTTTAGTCAAGAGGGGCAGGTAAGATGCATTGCTCATCAAAGAGTAAAGTAATGGATATGTTCATGATATCTTGTTTCTCTAATGGCTGTTTGTAGGGTTTTGCCTCCTTAAATTCCTCGCCAATGACACTACTAGTGTGAACAAAACGCAAAAATCAATGGAATCCACGAGGCATTTGCTACCTGTTGGCATCTAGCGATCCCTTTCTCACTTCTTTAAGAAATCCAAAATGTATTTTATAAACAATCTATGAATCAAGCTGCATGTGTGCAGAGTAATGGCAAAACGCCCATCACATCAATGGTGATTAACTGGAACTTCCAACAGCAAGCATAGGGAAAGCTGAAATTTTTTCTCCAGTTTTCTTTACCTACCCCGGAGGAGTTGTTGATACCTCCTCACCCCTCCTTGATTGTGGCAAAATACAAAGTGGTTGAGTTTGTAGCTTGCAGTTCATGAAATCGGAAACCAAAAGGTTGTTATTTTGATTAAATTTTCTAGGGATCAATGTTTATATATATTAACAAAATCTTATAGGGATAGGTTTCGTTGCAGCTATATACATAATTTATTACTATAGTTAAATTACTATTTTTCCATTTGATTGAAAAAAGAGAGGCTTTGTATAAGGGTAATTTAGTTTTTTTTAGAGGTCCATTGGTTATTAAAAAATTATTCAAGGGGTATGTTAACCTTTTCAAATTTGTTTACACGGTAAAGAATCAACACAATCTAGATTTGTTGATGAAGAGTTATTTTGTCTTTTTAAAAACTTTAGAAATATCAAAATACTTATTTAACTCTTAGGTAAGAAAAAAATTAGAACAGTTAGACCAAAAGCTTTTTTTTTTTCACTTAGTAGTTGCAACAAAAATATGTTTTTACCTTCATAAAAGACAAAAATCAAGGCAAAAGTATGGGGCATTTGTATCCTCTCAGGAATTTTTTTTAAAATTTTAAGTTCATAAAGAATATTATATTATTATTTATTTTAAAAAATATATTTTTATTTAAAAAAAATATTGTAGGGTGATGAATATATATCAACGCATGAGTGTCTTTCTTATCTTTTAGGTGGTGCATACGATACCATATGATAACTAAATTTATCATTTTATTGTGTTATTAGAAGTTTCACCGTGTTCTTTTTCTTATAAGGTAACAAGTGGTAGTGGATGCTGAACAATTTTGCTTTTTTCTTCTATCTTTTTTAGAAAAAAATGCATATCTGTCCTTTTTTTTAGGTTTTTTAATTTCAATCCCTATATTTTTTATTGTTTGTTTTTTTCTTTGGTTCTTTTATAAAAGTTTTTTATATTTTCAATTTAATCCTTAAATTACAATTTCTTATTTTTTTTCAATTTGATCTCTATTCTTTTAATTTTTGATTTTTTTCTTTAACTCTTTTGTTAAAGTTTTGTTGGTTTTTAATTTATCCTTTAATTAAAATTTATGTTGTTTTATTGTTTTCAATTTAGCTCTCATTCTTTTAATTTTTTTTCTTTTATGAATTTTTTTCTTTTCAATTTAACCCTCCAGTTTAATTTTTTTATGCCATTTAATTTATTTTTTATTTCAATTTTCACTCTCATTATTTTAATAATAATTTTTATATGATTGAATTTTTTTAAAATTTTTCTTCTTCAATGTTTGATTTGTTTAGGAATAAACTTTGTAGTTTTTTCTATGTCATGCTTTTAATCTAACAAGAATTGAAACAAATTTACAAAGTTTACGGAGTTTAAATTTTTTTTTCTCATTTTTTTTTATTTTACATTTTTTTAATTTATTTTTATCAGTTTATTTCAATCTCAAACATCTAATAATTAGTTTTGCAAATCTTTTTTAAATAAAAGTTTTTTTCTTAAAATGATTTGTTTGTATTTAATTTTTAAAGATTTATTTTATTTTATAGATGAGCTTTATTTTATATAAAAAAAATACCTTTTCTTTTATTTTATTCAAATGTGATTCTATTTTAACAAACACAAACAAGCATATATTTTATTTTGTAAGATCAATTATCTTAACTTATATTATTTTTTAATTTTTCAGTGTCTTCTTTATTTATTATTAACAATTTTTTTATTTACATAAGTAATTTTTTTATTTGATTGGATGGTTTTATAAGCCATTTGATTTATACTTTAAATTTTTTCATGTAAAAAACATAAAATTAAAATAGTCTACATAAGCAACACAACATCGCGTAGATCAAGTAGTATACATATAGGAGACGGATATACACGGTCAAAATTGGTCATCATCAATAAAAATGAAGACACCAGGTCATTACAATGGACGATTACAAATGATTGACTTTACAGCAACTTCCTTCTTTTTTTCTGGGTCCAGGACGGCACTTTATCTAAGTGAGCTTTCGCCAGAGAGATCCTTTGGAAGCTGTCAAACACTTCACCTTCGGAAAAAGAAAACCAGCCTTTGCGGGGTTTCCATCAACAAGTGAATTCTCATAGATCTCTTTGCACTCTTGCATAACCTGTGGAAGGAATGACATGAGAATAGATTTCAGAAACCTTCCCCAGTCCTAACATGCTATATGGTGCAACTGTAGATATCCCAATGCTCTTGTTTAAACCCTGTGAAGCCCTCCCCCTGTTGCTGATAAAAAGAAGAACTGGCAACACATGCGGTTCCGACAAGAAATATATGGTAGAAATATATGGTTTGGGTTGGATCGTTGATTCATCACACTAGAAGCATTTTATACATCAGATTTATGTAATAGGTTTGCATGTACCTCTTTCGCATCCTTCCGTGGTATGCCTTCTCGCAGTCCAACAAGCTTTTCAACAACTTCAGGCTGCAATTCGCAAGCACAATACACAAATCAGATACCAGGTTGATCAGAGGCAGAAACCTTGGACAATCTTGACACTTACAAATATAGAGTGCACTTTTCCTCATGGAATATGTAACTTGAATTGAAAGAAATCACTACAGTCTAACCCATTAATTTGCCCTAGCCTATCATACAATTGAAAACTGGTGATCTACTCTTGCACAATGGATCCAGTATAAGTAGAGTAATTATCAGACCAGTATCATCACTCAAAGGAAGAAATATTAAGTGACACTTACTGGGCAGTCGGGTTGATGTTCGAGAATATTTGTATAGATGAGTGTGAAGGAATCCAGACTCTCTGCTGAAGCAAGTTCTCTCAAATCACTCAGTATACGGACTCTACTTTCTACTTTCTGAAGCAAAGGTCAGTTGATCAAATATTAATAAAGAACAAAAAGATGATACAAGAACTGTTTTTCTCCACAGAATTACTTGCGAATATACTAAGCATAGAATAATTCAAACAAGTTTCTACATGGAACAGCCACTTACGGACACGGTGATATACTCCCTGAAGAAGTCCATAATAACCTCTTCATCTAGCCTCATCCGTTCTATTGTCTCTTCCTTTATGTAGTTTCTCTGCAATAATCACAACAAATTAAAGATAAAGTAAATTTAAAATTGAAAGAGACATGGGGCGCATACATGCAGGCGTATCTTCCAAGAAAATATAAGGTTAAACTTTATATTTGAAATAAAACCTGAGTCAGAAGGTGATCAACGTAAACCACCATTGTTTCCTCAAGACAAGCTTCAACAAACCTCCTAAATGATCTTTCTTCAATATACCTGAGGTACCAAAAAGAAAACAAATAAGAACAACTTTTCTTGTTTCACCTACAGATACAAGAACAATAACGATGCATGTGTGTTCAAGAAAATATGTAGTTTCCAGTAGATAAACTAATTTACACACCGATTGATGTCTTAGATGTTGAGATAACAACTTCCAGAATAAAGAGGAAAACCTAATTTCAATAACCTAATCACATGGGTATAGCTAATGTGTTAGTGCAAAGTCCTTCAAAATTTTCCCAGAATCTCTCTAAACAAATAAGAAATGGTAGTGGGCTGAAACCCTGTGATATTCCTATAACCCTTCCCCTAACAATAGCAGGCTGAAACCCAAGCTTCAGATCCCAGGCTGCATGCAAAATTCAATTTGCCATGTAATTAAGTGGCCTTGGCTATAGAAGTTGGGACTTTCCTTGGAAAAATCACGAGTCTTTCCCCCAGAAACGTGTAGTAAACAAATGAAGCTTATAGTGTACCTTTAGCTGCAATACAGCATGAACTAAAATGACTTGTATGTGGGATCTATGAAGTTAATTTGCTATAATGTACCTAAGCATCACTTGTACCTATAGTGCAATGCATCCCACGAGATGTAACCCAAAAGGCAGAACTCAGAAGAAGAAACACTGACAAAAGAGCAAACTTACATCTTTACATCTGTAAAATAATCACCAAATGTAGCAACTAGGTACTCCGTGACCTGTCCTTCAGACCACTCTGAAACATAAGGTAGATGCTTAGAGGTAATATTTGATAGATCAAATGCATTAAGAAAATTAATTGAAATCAATATCTTTCAACATATCTGAAAAATATTCTATGAAAATCAACATAATCTCTTTCAGTAGTTAAACTTAAAACATTTCACTAACATTTTAAGATAGGCACATTTTATTTTTCACAAGAAGTAGATTCTTTCAGTAGAGATACTTTCTCTATTTGCAGTGTACTCCCAGGGTAGCATCATGCCCTAATGACAGATTCTTTCATTAGGGCAGCATCAATAATTTAACATTAAAATTGTATGCCTGCATAAATTGTTTAATTATAGGCATCCAAACATATAGAATATGACAGTCTTAATGAAAGTAAGAAACATGAGGCAACTAAAATGTTAAATTAAACTCTATATATACATAGTCGTGAAAAACTATTATGCAGGCCCACATCACAGTGATTAGATATTGTGATTGCATTGGCCTGTTAATATGCACTTGAATTTTATCAGCTTGGTACAAATTATTTAACACAGATAGCATAAATGACATGTTAAGCGTTAACCAAGATAACATTATAGAGCATGGTAAAGCTGAACATTACTTTACCTTTATGATAAAGCTTGACAATTAACTCCTGCACACCAGGATCTTCAAAGATAACCCTAACAGTTTGATGCACAGCTTCCTGCCATCAGCAGATAGATTAAACATTTATTTAATGATATCATATTTGTGCAGGAATGCCAATAAAAATGCTAATGTATGCTACGCAAGGCCACTAGCTATAGCAATACAAACATCAGGATTGTGGAAGAAAATAGCATTTGCAGTGAACAAACTCCATGCTAGACGATGCTGTTGGAACTTAGCAGTCATCACAACAGAAAGTATGAACACGAGCATACACAATTCAGGTTTCCTCTAATTGATCGTTATCCTATCTGCAACAGTGTAGATGTTACCAAAGGAAGTACAATCAATTAAAAGAATAAAATGACCCTCCCCATTATTACCGTTGTACATTCTTCATCAATGCACAGAAGTTCTAAACTTTCCAATCAACAAGCACACAAAAGATCACTCATGACCCAGAAGACTTTTATCTATATAAAAAAATAATAACAAACAATAACTAATTAATCGATGAAGGATTGCTGCTTCAAGCTGAACACTTGAAACAAGCAAAGCCAAAGTTCAGAAAAGTAAAGGATGTATAGATTAGGTAGGTCTGTAATTGATTTCATCAAACCATCACATATAATGGAGATATAGCTTGGATTCCATATGAAACAAGATATCATAAATGGTCAATAAGAAGTTTGAAGGATACTGGAATATAACAAAAGGCGCAGAGAGAAAGGTAGAACCACTGTCGTTATTTGTTTATACCTTTGCAACCTCTAGGAAACCTTTGCAAGTATCTTCAAAGTTAACCTGTGAAAGTGACAAGGATAATGGATTTCACAAGGGAAAAAAAAAAGCGCTACATATTGTATTTCAACTATGCAATTAGCATAATGGTTCTGAAGCATATCATAAAGCAATGCAACTGAAAATCTTGGCAAAGATTTGAGACATTTAACTTATGATATATATTTAATTACCTATTAAAGTGGGATCACAATAATGCAAAAACCAATTTCTTTAAGCAGCATTGAATATAACACTGTGATTAGTAGGTGTTTATTAGCTGCAGTCTACACATTGGTGCGCACAAACACACTCATACTGACCAGAGTGAAAAGGGAAACAGGAAAAATGACACAAAAAAAATCCACCCCAATATAAGAAAACTCGTAGAAGCTGTCCTGAAGTGGAAGTAAAAATAGGCAAGCCGTTACAAAGGATAGTTACATCTTTATCAGGGTACCTTTCACAACCACTATTGCCTTTTCTTTTCTGGAAGTTGGCATGCCTAGCCAGGTTCATGAAGTGACAGGTAAATCACTTAGGTTAGAATGACTTTCTCTCAGACCTTCAGCCATGACTCACAGAATAGGTAATATGAATATGAAAAGATAGCATGCAACAAACCAATCAATTAAAAGCTCAGGCAAGGAAAAAGGCAGGAGGGAAAGCTTCCCTCCTTTGATTAGAGTGGAAGGAACAAGAAGAATATGGGATTCTGCTTCCTCCTAGACCTGTCAATTTCACTCGCTATAAAATGGACAGGTTTAGAGGAACAGAGAATCTTTTAATCTTTTCTATATTTTCGCTTTCTGAAGAAATAATTTTGTATGCAATACACGTTCCTTTTGTCAGAAAAAAATATATTCAGTCCTTCCTTTCATTACCCTAGCAAAAGAAAAGGTAGTCCTTCCCTCCAACCTCTCCTTTATCCCCATTAAGTTTTTAACTTCTTTCCAATTTTCTCAACCTCAGACAAACAAGTTGTTTCCATCAGCACTGTGATCATTTTAACTATAAGAAAAACTGATGAATTGAAACAGAAGCAAATAAAAGTAATCATATAAGTAACCTGCTCAGCATAGTTTTGTGGTAGGGCTTCCATGGTGCTGTTACTCAACTCCATTGCAAGGTCATAGCAGCGCAGATTGTTATTTATCTGTTTGTTATTTTCACAGAAAAAACAAGTGGCTAACAAAATCGAATTTAACACCCAAACATGATAAATTACTTGCATAAATCGCATATACAAAAGTACACAAACCATTGCGCATAAAGGTTCCAGACCAATTTCTGAAGCAGGTTCCTCAAGCCTCTTCCTTTCAGCAGCTTGAAAATCTATCATCACCTATAAAACACAAGTGAAAGAAATTTAATCATTAGAAACAGAAAACAACACCAAGAATGTGATCAGAAACTAAAGATGGAAGACAGACTTAAGCACTACTAGCATGAAGCATAAATAACACACTCAACTAGATGCTGCTGCACAAAATTACAATAAAAACAGTCATCCTTATGATGCCAGGAGTCATCCAATTATCAGGGCAAAGAAGAAAGGATCAGGTACAACAAGCTAAAAAGTGATTAAAGTGAACATGATTGTTCCATGTATTACCATATTCTTCAAAATACAATCAAACTCTCTTCCAATTTTTACACTTAAATTAAACAAAAATGTTGCTTATTTCAGCATAATTTATCTACACTTGCCTGAATTATAGCCAACGAGATCCTGTATAGCATGACATCTGTGCTATTATCCCTAACAATCTGAACTTGCTCCCCAAGGATCCTAAACAGATCAACAGCAGCTGGAGTATATAGCTTTCCATCATCTGTTTTCTTTGGTGGCTGTACCTTATCAGCTTCTAGGATATTCAAGTACCATTTCTACAAAAGCGTGAGCAAAACCAACAGCTATGAGAAATAGAAAAGGTGAAAGCCGAATAATAAACATATTCCATACATAATAGCATTGCAGAGCTATGGGATATCATATAATTACCCTTGTTGTAGCTTGCATTCTCTCAACATATGAATTCATGAGGGGATCCATGGCTCCACTCTCAGAACAAACTTGAGCAAGTGACTCATCAACACCAAGTCCAACCAAATTATCTTGATATTCAACTACCCAACCAGTTACCTAGTTGTAAGCAATCAAAATTACACAACACTCAATCTACATGAAAGAAATTATCAAATGTTACCCTAATGTGAAAAAAAATGAGACCCGGGGAAAAGAAAGTCTTTTTTCCCATTGATGAACATAGTATTATATTATGAAGCACTGCACAGCGGGAGAATGGTCATCCTCCAATATCGTGCTCTTATATGTATGAAATGAGTTGTTTCAAAAACATTATCAACCAGGTGAATACCTTTAAAATCTCTATATTTGATAACTCGTTTGCCCTGTCGCTCAACAATCTGAGCATCTGAGTAAACCTCTCTGTATAAAGGTTTACCATGAGTTGGAATATTTCATATCTGCAAAACATCAAAGATCAACTCAATATACCAAAGAAAACCCTTAGACCAACCTATTTCAAGAAGATGATGCTCTGCTCCAGAGAAGATTTATAGGCAAAAAATAGTAGCATGCATTAATGCAATAAAAAACTCTTCAGAGTCCAAGACAAAGCAGTTTCTTAGGCGTGCTAATGTCAATCAAGAAAATTTACACATTACCAGATAATGAAGTGTGTGATCTAAGTCATCATACTCTCCAACAAAGATATAACTTCCAAATTAGGCCATTCACTCAAAACTTAAACTGACTCGAAGGACCAGATTACACCCAAAAGGAATCTTACAAGCAACCTTTTTCACATATATTTGTTACTAACAGCTAGCAAATGAATGTGTCATTTAGGAAGACTATGGGAACATACTACACTGAGACAAAATAGCACCAAGCTTGAAATCTCCATTCAGGGTCCCCCTAGTTCCTTTTGTTGCAAGCATCAATAGCACGCAACAAATGTTCAATTTTACAACTTATCTAAACCAATATGTTACGAGTTCTAGTGATATGAGTGATTATTAGCATGGGCAACAAGCAATATTAGAGATTATCAAGCCAGAACAGAAGGTTTAGCAGAAGTTCATTAGCAGAGATGGCAACTGTCATTGTAACTAACTTTGCAGCAGAACCAATGGATTACATGTGGCTAAAGTTAGTTAATTAGTCAGTCAGTCAGTCAGTAGTAAAGTTAGTTAATTAGTCAGTCAGTCAGTAATCAGTTAGTTAGCAGTTGGTTGCAAGTTAGTTAGAAGTTCAATCCTTGTACAGAAGCTTGAGGCAGGCAATAAGAAAATAACAGTTTGATGTAGAATTGCATTCTCTCTAATTCTTCTCATTCTCTCTTCTTTCTACTCTTCTTAAAGTTTATTTGTTTTGTTAAGGGAAACCTTAAAACAACATTGTTTGCTGATCTTGATTTCTCCACCTACATCCTCTAATACCTCCAACAATGGTCAAAGGATTGAAACCCCAACATAATTTTGAGGATCATTTGCTTTGGTACCAATTTGAAGTAGTGTGGGAAGAGTGAAGCAGTAGAAAGCAGAAATTACAGCAGAATAATGGCTAAAACTAGGATAAAATTGAAGTTAGAACAAGATAATAGAATTTAGGGTTCACAAGAAACCTCTAGAATCTGAATATATTGATACCATAACAAAGAACTACTTTTCTGAATAACCTAGCAGTCTATCTATAATAGTTTAAGCACTGTATCCTTGTAGGAAAAAAAGGATTCCTAGTCTTGGTCCTCAAGTAGAACTACTTAGGAAATACTGTATAAAGTCACATGGTAATCACATGACCCTAGATTAATTAATTAACCCTAATATCACAAATCTAATAAAATAAATCCTGAACAAAAGCCCTGTATAACTTACCGTGGGGGAAAACATGGGGCCACATAGTCATAAATATCACCAAGCTCTTCACCAATCTAAAAGTCAAAAATAGAAAACAAAAACGCAACATAAGGAAAATCATTGATCGATTATGAATGTTCCAGCATTGACAGCTTCCTGATAGATTATAAACTAAAATTCGTTTACAAGCAAAGCAATGCTAAAAACAGCCACATAAGCACATTAAAACAAGTAGACAATATGGCAAACATGAAATCCTAAAAGGCAAGAAAACATGTTTGATTTCTCTTTCAAATAAAATAAACAATTTATCAACTCCCAGCATAATGGTGGAAACATGCACAACCAGAAGAACAAAGGCAATCAAATGCACATGCTTGGCCACACAGACAAACTGCTGTGATGGGAACCAATCCTTTCCTCAGTGCAGATTTTTTCAAATTTCATATAAGAGCTTTTTGATATCTCCAAAACCATCTCATGACTATTTAGTCATGACCTTCATGTACCAGATGAAAATATGGAACTTATATAAAAAGTTGCAGTGTATAAAAATATCAAATCTCAAAGACCAGGGAAAAGTAAATAGTGTACGTACTGTTCGTGCTTCTTCCAAGGCAGCTTTGAGGTTTTCAAATACAAGCTGATGAACAAATACCATTATCAATAATATAAAACACCAGAAGCAAATATTTCATAGAGTAGAAGATTAATCAAAAGATGTACCTCTGTCAGTAGCTTGTTAAACCGTCCTTCAACTGCCTTTCTTATACTCTCGTAACACTTATCCTTAAACCCTTTACCCTGAATCTTCAACTTCTGTTGCATGGGGTTTTTGGAAGAAACTGCTGTGGTGGTAGATTTTCTGTGATCCACAAGTAAACTTTCCGTTAGTGATTTTCTCTTTTTGGATTAAAGGTGCAATGAAGCATGAAATGGCAACAGACAAAATAGATACAAAATCACTGATGAAAAACGTAATTCAGAGTTCACGCGAAATAAAGACACAAATAGGTAAGACTCTAGTTACTTGGCAGATCTGCGAGGATTTGCAACTGTTGCCATTGCACCACCTCCCTCAGCCTCAGCTGCCTCCTCAGCAACTTGTTCATCAAGAATTTCTTGCATTTCCACAACCCTAGAGAGGGGAAAAGGGATAGAGTAGCGTTTCAGGTCTATAGTGAATTAAGACAAAAGTGCATGTCATAAATTTTCAACATGCTGACTATGATCTTTTGCTTTTTATATTTTTACCATCATTTGTTGAATCAAATGCCAAATCAAACCATAACTGAAGTACTAACAGTATGATTTCTCTCTTTATCATGCTAGCTGTTAGAGCAGACATAAAGGACTCTTTTATCATAGCAATGATTCTGTTACGAACAGAATGGTAAAACAGAATGCTATCTCTAATTACCTAGATCTCCTATCATCTTCTCACATGGGACAAACCTCATAATCATTGGAACCTTCAACAAGTAACTATTATTATGACACTAATAGATGAGTACTACTTTAACAACATGAAAGCGAGAACATTTTGAGGATATGCAGCAGCCTAAGTACAAAAGAGAGAAGCCTAGAAGGCTTGTCAGAAACATACCTTAAAGCACGAACCAGCGTTTGTGGGCTGCCAAAGTAGAAAGCGAAAGCAGAGTTATTAGAGTTGAGCATGGAAAAAAGAATCACAAGGTCCATAAAGAGAATATATACTGTGTTACTTTTGCACAGAGTAGTAGAACTAATGATTGAAAATTATAATTGGATCATTTTATTGTACAGAAAATCTAAATAAATTCACAAGAAAAATTGTTGGGCTTCATATTTCTAGGATACCATGAAGTTATGGAATTGAGAAAAAGAATTTCAGCCCCAGTTACTCAGTTCCCTCTTATGCACATGTCTGTCTAATCAACAAACATTTTGACATTTCCAGGATACCATGAAGCTCGGGAATCGAGTAAAAGAATTTCAGCCCCAGATACTCAGTTCTCTCTTATGCATATGTGTGTCTACTCAACAAACATTTTGACATTTGTTAATGAGCAGGCAAAATGACATTTGCTTCTTGTACCAATAGAATCAACTACACACCGCTAGCTTTTGTAATTTTAGCCCTTTGAGGTTGCCTTTTGAGACTGAATGCCTATAAATAGACAATGTGGTAATATCAGGAGAATGGGTTCCATTTGCCATAGATAACATTTTCAGTTTTGGTTCTTTGGAGACTTTTGGTGGCAAATTCCCTCCCCCAAGACCAGATCCCATATCTAACTGAGACCTCTACTCTACTAAAGGGGAGTGGCTTTAGTTAACATGTTTCGACCCGATGAGCAAAAGGCTTCCATCAAGGAATGAGGCATTTTCTAAGAAAATGACATTACTTTAAAACCACCCCAATGGTCCTAGTTGATTGTTGGGGTGGTGTTTCTTTCTCTTGGGAGAAAAGGTTGTTAAGGGTTGCTTTTGCAAAATAATAATTAGAACGCACACTAATCACTAACACCTCCCATAAAACATTTACACAACACTGTTTTGATTGATTTCTCACATTAAGCATACAATTTATGCAGATAGAATGACAGAGAGAGCATTGGTGAGAGCCTTGTCACAATGTGGCCCCAAGAATTAGGAAAAAGTATTCGTATGCACATTATCACACACTTTGATAGAAAATAAAGAGTATACCTTTCTTTAGAAAGCTTAAAGAAGTTGGAAACGTGTCCCCATAAAGTCTTTTCAAAGGTTTCCCATGTCTGATCTACATCTTCAAAATATTCTCTGGCCATTGCACATGAAACATATGGAAGTCATTGAACTTCAAGCTACAAAAATCATGCACAAACATAGAGAGAAGAAATATGTCAACTATAAAGGTTCTGCCTTCATCTTTACCGTCATCCATCTCTTTCATTTTCATCTTAAACATTTCTGGGCCATTTGTGCTGCTAGGACATCAAGCTTTTGCAGTATAATGTAATTCAACTCAAACTATTTGTCTTTACAAGTAACAAAAAAGAAATTCCAAGACATGGAGATGCACCAAAAGTGCATCAAAATTACCACCAGGCAAGACAAAACTTCTTGGTTGAGGCAAAGCCAAAGTGCCAAATATTAGCATTTTTGTTCAAGGAAAAGTTGTTGGGAAAAAGATATTTTAGGGAAATGGTAATGAGGTTGTCATCAAATTATGGTCTCCTTGGTACAATTCAAAGGCTGGCATCACAAGGGGTTAAACGATATTTCTATGACACTCTAAATATTATGTATAACTACATGTAATTTATATAGCACCATGCAACTGCGTCGATCAAATGTAAAGGAAATCAGAGCCGAGCCAGCACTTAAATTGCTATTTATTTTCCCTTTAATATTAGTAATTTGTTGTGCTACATCAAAATTAACTTGAAAGGGAATATTCATACCTTAATCTGCCAACCTCCTCTTTGTGAGATCCAGCAGCTGCTAACGCAAACCTTCGCTTCCCATCAAGTGCAGTTAACCTCTATGAGAAATTAACAACAAAAGGTCATCAACCAAGATATAACTAGACACGCATGAGAAATATTCAACTTAGAACTTGACAAGATAAAGAATTCAGCTTTACCTCATAAGTATTAACAATTTCTCTATCATCACTCAATGAATCTCGTGCCTCTGCTGCTTCAACAGATATTGACAACATACCTTCAACATCCTACATTGAATCAAGAGGTAAAGAGAAAGGTAATCACAGAGCAAAATAATAAACTCATAATAGCTAAAGCTTGGGCATCAGAACACACAGCATACAGCTTCTAAGAGAATGACTATCAAATCAACTAAAGATAACACACTCTCATTTGCCACACTAATCACAAGCAACCAAGGTTGTCAATTCCGTTCCGGTTGGTGTTTGGTTTTTTTAATTGGAACAGTATGTTTTGGTTTCAGAGCGTTTCGAGGTGCTATTTCGGAGTTTTACTATATATATAATTCAAAAAACATAATTTCAATTCAAATCCAAAGATAAACTAACTTGAAATTATGCACTTCAAATTTCAAACACAAGTAAAAAAATGGGAGTCGAACTGATATGACCCGACCAACTCAATGGGTCCAAAAACAACCTGGACGACAGGTAAAAATATAGTTGGATTCAAAAAAATTCAAGATGACATTTAAAAAAAAAACAATATTAAGATAACAACATATTGGATGAACCCAAGTCAACCTTCCAAATCCATGACTCAAGTCATGAGACCATAATAACCCAAAATAAAGCAAATCAAAACAAATTATGAAACTCAATTCTCAAAAAACATATTGTTGATATATATATTTCAAACTATTAATTCAACAAACATAATCTCAATTCAAATCCAAAGATAAACTAACTTGAAATTAAGCAATTCAAATTTCAAACACAAGTAAAAAAATGGAAGGGGAACCGATATGACTCAATTAAGCAATTCAAATTTCAAACACAAGCAAAAAAATGGAAAGGGAACCGATATGACCCGATCAAATCGATGAGTCCAAAGACAACTTGAAAGACTAGTAAAAATATATTTTGACTCAAAAGTTTTCAAGATGACATTATTTTTTTTAAAGATATTGAGACAACAACACATTAGATCGACCCGGGTTAACATTGGCTAGCTTTTCAAATCTATGACCCGAGTTATGAGACTATAATAACCCCAAATAAAGCAAATCAAAACAAATTATGAAGCTCAATTATCAATAAACCTATTGTTGAATTATGAAATTGAAAAAAATTCAATCTAAAAAAAAGGACACACAAAAATAACTTTTCGAAACAAAATTACAAATTTGAACAAAAACCATCATCAATCTTGCAAGGCCTTTTTAAACTCCTATTACTCAACTTTTAATCTAAAATATAACAATATGTTAAGAGACTCGTAAAATTTCAATTTGATTCAACGGTCGGATTGAGAGATATAATTGATACTGCAAAACCAGACAATACTTTAAAAAAAAAAATCATTATTTGGCTGAAGCAGAACGGCCAGAACGGAACTGGAGCGTTCCAGCTCAAATTTGGGTGGAATTTACATAACAAGCTGAGATTCTAAGCAAGATGAAATCTATTCCGGTTTGTTCCATTTTTTAAACTGGAACGAGATATACCGACCATGCTGGACGGAACAGAACAGAAATGACAATCTTGCAAGCAACAACTACAAGAAACCTAAAGGAGAAAAGGTGGCACCGACCTTCAGCGTAGTATTAAGATTATTCCTTGCATTGCTAAGTAGCTTTATCTGATCATGATTCTCAATCAAAGTTTGACATTCTTGACATAACCTAACACACAAATAAATCAATTATTATATCAAACCAAAAAAAAAATGCAAAAGCATCTGTCCTTTAAAAAAGAAAACAAAACAAGAATCAGCAAAATGAGGACATACTTTTCAATAGAAATGAAGTTCTCTCGTAGCTGACTGATCGTCTTCTGAGACAAGGACAACGATTCCAATCCAGATTGTGCTTGTTCCACCTTCATTTTTACATTATCTAAAATAATTAATACATCAAAATAGAAACAATATAAAATCAACAAGCAATAATTAATTAAATGTGTAATTCTATGACAAGATTACCTGCTCTGCTACCATTGTACTAAGTTGCGCATCATTAGCCTAACAAAACGAAAATAAATAAATACGATCCATAAAAAAATTGAAAAAGAAAGGATGAATTTGATCGAAATGCAGTTACTTGTTGGCGAGCGATGTAATCGGCTTTGATAGAAGCAATAGATTGAAGAAGCTCTGGAAGCGGTAACAGTTTCGCCACCTCACGCACGGCGGTTTCTTTCGCTTCGATGCCGAGATCCTCCGCCATCATTTTCGATTTCTAGTACAGAATTACACCCAGATTAACTGAAAACAAACAGAAACTGAGTGCGTGTGTGTATGTAAGAGAGAGAGAGAGGAAATTTGGCTTAGGAATTGAATTCTGTTATGACTTTGAAGTTTGAACGCAAATGGAGCAAGATGCAGAGGAGACTGAAGAAAATGTTGATTTTCTCTGAGAGAAGAGAGCGACACGTATTTCGACATTTGATAAGAACGACTCGTCGCTGGACTCAGAGCCCACTTTTTTTCCTTTTTCTCTGAAAGATTATCTGTGGCATATAGGAACGACTTGTCGGATCATTGCTGCTTTAGTAACATGTGTCATTTTGCACATTAAAAAAACAAAAAAACTTATAATAAAATCCATAGAAAAAAGTGATTTTCAAAGTTTTCTTTTCTTGTACCTCTACAAATGTATTTCTTTTGATTTTTAAGCTATTGAATTTACTAAAAGGTGAAATTGTGATAAATAAAAATAATTAAATGTATTATTTAAAAGCATGATAACAGTTAAGTTTTAATAATAAAAAACTATTATTAGAATATATTAAAATAATATTTTTTAAAATTATTTTAACATCAACTAATTATTAAAATGATATAAAAATATAATAAAATAATTTTAAACAAAATTGTTTTTAGATTTTTAAAAAACATTTCAAATATCTCTTCAAACAAGGTGTTTATTTTAATAATAATCATTTCAACCTTGCAACAATAAATAAACCTACGGGATATGTTGGATTTCTTTAATCAATTTTATATTTAGATTTCTATAATTATATCGAATTCAAATTGAATGAAAAAGAAAAGAAAATATGTATCAATGTCATTATTTCTTGACATTTAAAAAAAGTAGTGGAAATCAATGCTGTATAAAAAATAATAATCATCCAAGTAAAAGCTAACACATAATATATGTTCACAAATATATAGATTAATCCTAATTTTCTAATATGAGCTTTAAATATATCCCTGGTATAAACTTAGTCAAGAGGTCCGTCCATGTGACTCGTAAATATGTGTTGAAAGTCTCTTTTTTTTTGGTGCCATGAATCAAGTTATATATAATATTAATGTGTATAATTTCACCATAATACTTGAGAGTCATTATTTTTTATCATGTTTTCCGACCTGCTTTGTTTCCTGAGGCTGTGAGTTTTTTGGGCCCGTTTTGGAGTAAGCTTTGCATACAGCCAGCATATTGCCTCCGATGATATATCCTTCTGCTGGCTGGGGAGTATAATTATGATTATTTTTAAAAATATATATATATTAAAATATGTTTTATTTTTAAAAAATTATTTTTATGATCAACATATTAAAATAATTTAAAATAATTAAACTTGCATAAAAAATTAAAATTTTTTAATATCATGATTTACACCCCATTACTGAATATTCTCTTTTATCCTCGGTTAGCAATTCAGTCTCCAGTCCCCATTTTTCATTTTTATATTCTATTTCTAGCTATTTATTTTTAAAAATATTTTTTATTTGTTATAAATAAGGACAATGATTGGATAGTTCGACCCTTTTTCGAAGGACCATGTCTGTGAATTAGGTATGAGTGATGCAAGAGATATTAATATTTCATTACAAGATTTTCTTGGGACTGGCCGGTAAGTTGAATCGATTTTTTAACATTAAAATTAAAGTCAGATTTTAGTCCCAATAAAAAGAACTTATACATTGATTTTACCAAACCTCATTGAATCGTGGAAGGTGAGTTTCATATGTGCCGAAAATCCATATAACTTTATAATGATTTAGGGTTTGAATCTTACAATAAAAAAACTATAAGAAAGTTTTTATGAACACATACTTACTTCTATTATTACCTGATTTTAGAAAACTTACTCAAAATATATAAAAAGACCGTCTTAAAGACATTGGTGCCAGTAATTCTAATCAGTAAATTGTGGATATGCTCTAGCTGGGTTATGTGAATAACTTTGCAGGAATGTTTGTGGATTGAAGTGAGATGAATAAGGTTAAAAATATATTTAAAATGCGTGTTGGATGAATGATTTGATAAAAAAAATATCTAATTATTATATCATCTTTAAATTTTATCAAGATATTCTAAAAGTTCACTTATATAAAAATATTAGTTTAGTATAACTAGTTAAATTTTAAAACATCAGCAAAATATATTATGTTTATATTATAAAAGAATGTGTGAAATTGAGATATCAGTGACGATTTAATATATTTTTTATTTAAAAATATATTAAAATAAAATTATTTTATTTTAAAAAAAATATTTTTAATATTAATACATCAAAATGATTTGAAAATATAAAAAAATTTAAAATTTTAAAAAATATAATTTCCACCTATTTCCAAACACACCTATATGAAGATGGGTAAGACTCACAAACACTGAGGGTATGGATAAGTAATATTGCTGGATCAATATAAAAGAAAAAAAACATTCTGTTAACATTCGGACATGAAAACCACATTGATCTATTTAATTAGATCATGCACTTAATGTAAATTTTGTTGAACGTAGGTTGGGCTCGAAACAAACATTCAAACTTGATCAAGACATTTTTTTCCTTTTCCGCTTAAGTTTAATTGTCCCATGACTCCATGAGTTCTTGCTGTGGCAACTTAAATTGCTACTCGCTAGATTCCAATGAACATCTTCCAATTTTTCATCAATACCAAATGCAATCATAAATGACAAGCTTGTGTTTATTTCCAATACCAGCAACATCATTACAAGGATTCCAAGGTTACAACATGGATACATATAGTGCATTACACAACGGCTTTTAATCCATCAAAATCATAAGCCACTTGAAATCCAACAATTAATGGCGGTTCAGTCAAAGCCAGGTATCTAATCCCCGTTGTGAAGTCGAACACAGCACCAACATCACTAGTAGTAAGACCTAGATCATACGAAGAGAGCTTGTAAGCAACGAGCTTGTAGTTGGACACAAATGAGCCTCCGACGTTAACAATCCTGAATATGGTATTGACATCACCTTCAACTCCACCAATTGTCAGAAGCTCAGTTGATGAACTATTACTACTTTCATGCATCCACACCATTGTTTCGTTAGTGCAGTTTGAGGTGGTATCAAAACTGATGTATAAATCAGTTGAATCTGTGATAAAAAGTTCCTGATCCCCACTAGCAATCGTAAATGTTACTGGCGTACCTGTAACGCAAAAGTTTTCCAGCAGAATAACATCAAGCGGGCACGTACCGTTTATGTCGTTGCCCAAGCTGACAACACCACCAACAATCGGCCATTCACTTGAAATCATGTAATACGGAACTCCAGGGAGAAGCCCCAAGCCTTTAACGTCAAGCACTGGATTCCCTGAAGCACGAACTTCAGGGAGCAGTGTCAATGCGGAAGCCAAGAGAAGGAAGGAGAGGGGTAGTAACATAATATTCTTCATCGTAATATTGTTTGTGGTGTGGAAATGAGCAGAAACAAGCTTGGATTTATAGAGTAGCTTTGGACTATTGCCACCTACTGTCATTTTGCTATTTTCCACGTCTCTGGCCAATTTCCTGATCATCTTGATAAGTCCTTTTCCAGTATACCTTACCTAATGTTCTTCTCTCTCTCTGTAATTCTGCTTTGTGTTACTCGCAACCATTTAGCATTCCAAAGGGCTGGAAATTTTATATTCGGAGAAACAAATCATGTGTTGTGCAAGGGTAGGAATGGGAAAACATTATAGTCGTTGACTAGTAGTTAAGCCCTGTTGCTTCTTTTCACTTCTAAACCTATTTCTTGCTATTTTTAGAGGCTTAGTATTATTATTAACATTAAAAAAACACTAATGTTTTGTGTTTTATGTTTGCTTTTGTTTATTTTTATTTTTTTTAATTTCACCCGGGTCTCATTTTATTTTATTTTTATTTTTATTTTTTAATATGAGATTGTTTTGAAAATTATATTTTGTGTTTTTTTTATTTCTTTTATAATTGATCATAACATACCAATATCATGCATTCATTTTTTTTAATTAATCTTAACTTTTAATATTAGATTTATTAGAAGTGAAATATTTTTAATTATTTTTTATAAATTTATCACAATTTCATAATTTAAATTACAGTTTTAACAAGTTAATATTGATTGATATTAATTATGTTTTTAACTGTTTTTTAATTAATTTTTTTAATTTTATTTTTTAACATTAAATTAATTAAAAATTAAGTTTTATAATTTTATTTCTTATTTATTTTTTTAAGTATCTCATTATGATGCTATAAGTAATGAATTTAATAAATTACCAGAATTAATTTTTTGGATTTTTTTTAATTAGATAATTTTTAATTATTTTTTTATAAATAAATCAATCAATGAATGGCGTATTTAGGTATAATGAGATAAATGAAAATTGGTACGATAATATAATTAGAACTAAAACCAAAACAAAATTAAAATAAAAGGAAAAAGAAAAAAAAAAAAGACTCCCAATTCTTCTTTAATTTTTGATTAACGTGAGTATTTGGACTAATTTGTACGTATCACAACTAATTACACGGCTGAACTAAATATCCTAAATAAAATATCGTAAGAATTGCAAACAGATACATACAGAGATTTGAACTCGAATTGACTGCAAAACAAACTTGACAGCAGACCACAGAGCTAGAGCGTCGGGTGCCTGTCGGATAACAAAACTCCAATATTTTCAGTTACCGGCCCTTCAGCAAGTGGATTGGATGCTGTTTTATGTGTATATATGTAAAGACCATCCACAAGTCAACAATGGCTTGAAAATTAAAAATTTACCACCGCAGAATAAATAGCATCTCCCAGCATGGTAATTTTGTAAGGTCTGTACCACAGTAGGATGTGGATATCCCTTGAAGATATTTCGGATAGGTAATGATGTCTTTCTTCATTCGGGATTTCTAAGTGATTTTCCTTTGGCTAAAAAAAATTATTAATTAATTGATTAATTACTAAAAGAGGTTATGCTTGCATCAAGTAATATTTATTGAAATAGTATTTTTCTGTTTATTTTATTTTTATTTTTATTTTTTAATATTTAGTTTATTAATAATTAAGTTTTAAAATTTATTTCAATTTATTTTTATGACATTATTCTAGTTTCTCGATTTAAATTATAAATTTTATGGGTGAATCTTGTTAACTTATTTATTTATTTTTTAATTATTTTTTTTCAGTTTCATCTTTTCATATTTTATTAATTAAGAATTAAATTTTA